TGGTGCTCTCTTGGGCCGTCTGGGGGCCATCTTAAGGCCTCAGAAGCACATTGCAAGCGAAAAGGCGAAAAGGCCAAAAACGTGGATTCCCCCGAGGTGTTTGAAGGAAATTGGCCTCTTGGGGGCTTGGGAGGGCTCGGAGGGTACTTGAAACCGTCTTGGTTCCATCTTGAGGCCTCTTTGATGCATGTCGGAGGCTATCTTGAACCATCTTCAGATATCTTGAGCCCTCGTGGAGGCCATCTTGGGCTCTCCGAGGCCCTCTTTGAGCCATCTTGGGCCATCTTATGCGCTCTAACTACCCGCGCCCCCCCCCCCCCTTACCAGGCCCAGGGGAGGGGGCAGGAAGAGTGGTAAGCCCCTCCCCCCGAGCAGGGGTGGGAGGGGTTTCGGCAGTGAGAGAAGACAACGTTCGTTAAACCACCTACGCCCAGAGGGCTGGTGGGATTGTTGTTTTCAGGTGCGGTGGTACTGTGATACTGCCTTCAACCACAAGTTTGGATCACAGGTACGGCGGTGCTCGTCACAGGTACTATTGCGCCAACGGGAATGTCTAACCCCCCTGATACCTACAGGTTCCCATCTGCTCTGCTTGAGGCCTTCCTTCAGGCGAGGCCATCGTGAAGACGTTCGTCTTTGCCAACATACTTGTTCATGGGTGCCCAAATGTGCCATCAGTCGCACTCGCATTTGTCAGATTCGTGCACGTGTGTATAGTGTGCTGGCGCCGCGCGGCAGCCACTTGGGCCCATGCCTGACGTAGGAGGCTAAGAGCTCCCGAAACGCGTCGCATACACGAGACGGCGTCTCGAACTGCGCACAGAAAAAAACAGTTCAGGGGTCGGAGGTTGATACGGCTTCTGGGCAGCATGTCATTCCGCCGGTGCTGGCCCACCACGCTGCGGCGCGACACGCTGTCCCCGTGCCAGTCCCCAGGCGTCGACGTCTCGAGTTTTGCTCCGAGCCTCCCGCCCCGCGGAGCGGGGCGACGCGTTTGCCGCTGCCGCTCGCAAGGCACAGCGTGTCGCCGGGGCCGCCGCCACGGCACGCTGAGCAGAAGTCCGTCCCCCTCCCCAGGTGGGGGAGGAGGAGGAGGAGGAGGAGGAGGAGGAGGAGGAGGAGGAGGAGGAGAGGAGGAGGAGGAGGAGGAGGAGGAGGAGGAGGAGGAGGAGGAGGGGGGGAGGGGGGAGGAGGGGGGGGAGGGGGAGGAGGAGGAGGAGGAGGAGGAGGAGGAGGAGAGGAGGAGGAGGAGGAGGTAGGAGGGGAGGAGGAGGAGGAGAGGAGGAGGAGGAGGAGGAGGAGGGGAGGGGGAGGAGGAGGGGGAGGGGGAGGGGGGGGGGGGGGGAGGGGGAGGGGGGGGGAGGGGGAGGGGGAGGGGGAGAGGGAGGAGGGGGGAGGAGGGAGGAGGAGGAGGAGGAGGAGGAGGAGGAGAGGAGGAGGAGGAGGAGGAGGACGAGGAGGAGGAGGAGGAGGGGGAGGGGGAGGAGGAGGGGGAGGGGAGGGGAGGGGAGGGGGGGGGGGGGGAGGGAGGGGGAGGGGGAGGGGAGGAGGAGGAGGAGGAGGAGGAGGAGGAGGAGGAGGAGGAGGAGGAGGAGGAGGAGGAGGAGGAGGAGGAGGGAGGAGGAGGAGGAGACCCCCCACACACCCTGCAGTCGAGGCGCTGGCACAGGGACCGCTCTGGGCTCAGGAGGGGCTCGGGCTCCTGGGCCGCTCCTCGGGTTCCTGGGTCGGGCGACCTCTCGGTGGGCGAGGCCCGCCGTGGCCAGAAGAGCCCCTTCGTTCCTTGTCTGGCCCTTCTCCTCCTCCTCCTCCTCGTCCCTCCTCCTCCTCGTCCCTCCTCCTCCCTCCTCCCCTCGTCCCTCCTCCTCCTCCTCCTCCTCCTCCTCCTCCTCCTCCTCCTCGTCATCATCATCATCATCCAGCATCATCATCATCATCATCATCATCATCATCATCAACATCATCATATCATCATCATCACCTCCTCTCCTCCTCCTCCTCCTCCTCTCTCACTCCTCCTCGTCCCCTCCTCCTCCTCTCCTCCTCCTCCCTCCTCCTCCTCCTCCTCCTCCTCCTCCTCCTCCTCCTCCTCCTCCTCCTCCTCGTCCCTCCTCCTACACCTCCTCCTCGACTGCGTCAGGTCGATCAGCGAACTGCCCGTTGTCGCTTCTCGAGGGGGCGCTGCACCCGCAGTTGCTGGCGGGTCTGTGCCGCCGGGTCCGGTCCCTGGTGGCGTTCACGGAAGGGCGTCCTGCTGACGTGGCGTCTCTCGGAGGTGTGCATTTCTTCAGGAGGGAAACAAGCACACAGACACCATTAATCGTCGATTTCCCCAAAAATATGGGATCATATGGGAAGTGGGGGGGAAGACAAAACCCAGAAATATGGGAAAATGTAGGGGAATCCTTCTATTTGTGTCTATTTATTTGTGTGTCCCAGGGCCCCTTCGTTTTTCTCGGCGAGGACCATTGAGGAGCGTCGTGGATCATCTGGCCACAAGCACGCACGAGACCGAAGAATACACAGGGAACGGGCGTCCAGGCGACGGCAAGCCAAAGGGGGTTCTGTTCACCCCCGATGGGGACTTCGGAGGCAACGCCAGGGGACGATAGGCCCAGGGGGTCAGAGAAAGAGAAGGTACCCGTACTGCTACCCTTCCCTCGTTTTCCCCGCGTTGGGCCTCTTGGGAGACCCTTGTCGCCGCCGCTGGATTCGCCTCGAAATTCTGGCCAGAACGCATCCCTGGAGAAGCCCGGGGAGTAGCGGCATCGTTACCTGTTGGCTTCCCCAGGGGTGGGGGGAGATACGAGCTGGAGTCGGCGATGCATCGCCCACAGATCGGCGATAGGCCCCCGATAGCCGCGAGGAGGGGAAAGAGGCACAAGCACGAAAAAACTGCTTCGTGTTATGAAAATCTTGTGGAATACAGGAAAGGAAAGGGAAAGGGGAAACCCAGGAAATCTGGCATGATATGTCGGAAACCTTTGCACCTGTGTCGATTTATATCTGCGGGACGGGAAAATGACCACAGCCATTGCTTCTTGTCTGCGCCGCCTTCCAGCCGGCCGAAAAAGAAGCAGTGGTTGTGGTCATTTCCCTGGTGCCAAGCTCAACGAAAATGACCACAGCCACTGCTTTGTTTCTGCGTGCTGGAAGGCGGCAACAAAAGAAAAGCAGTGGCTGTGGTCGTTTTCACGCCCCGTAATATCGGAGTCCACCAGGGCCCTTGGAAGCCAATCAGCATGTCCATGGGCGGGGCGGGCTATCTCGGACGGGGCTGGGACGAGGATACACCCGTTCGAGAGCGTTCCAGAACGCTTTGAGAAGGCCGCGGCGCGCCGCCATATCTCGGAGGTTCCCGATTTCTCCTCGTCCGATGCTATGTTCGTCCTGGCTCCGTCTGACCATCGGGCCCCACACCGGAGATATGCCGCTGGTTCCAGCGCGATGCTTCCCCCCCACCCCTCCCACGCCTCCCTGACGCTGCCCCTGCGGGCCCCAGGGCTCCGAGGAGGCACCCCCCCCCCTTTCCCCTAACACCCATCGTGCCGTGGACGAGCATCTACGACGGGTGCCTTCGCCGATCCCCCGGACGTCCGAAGCATCGAGAAAGAAAAGACGAAGGTTTCTCGCCGTGTTCGACCTCGGGGGGCCCTCGCCGAGCCCCGGGGCCGTCCAAAAAAGAAGCCTGGATGGAAAGCGGGCCCCGTGGAAGGGGTCAAGACCTCTGGGGGGCCACGCCACGAGCACAGAAGCACGACGTCACGACGTCGGATGCCTGGGCCCTGGGAGCGTCCAGGAGGGCGGGATGGTTCCAGGGGGCGGGTGCGTCATGGCTGGGGCCACGAAGGCTTCCACGCTTCACAGCCTTCGTCCCTGCTTACAGTCAACGCGCATAGTAAGGACAATCGATTGTTTCAAGGGTACCCCTGGGTCCTTGCCTGCCTCAGCAATTTTCGCAGGCCAGAATACTTCAACTTCGGCGTCCTTACCACGCGTCCTTACTATACGTTTTCACTGTACCATTATTCTTGTGAGCACCGCTTTTGTTCCTACCAGGCCAGCTCTTCTCCGTTCACGACGCTCCCTCGCCACCTGCCCGATCCGCGCGCACACCTCGGGCCAGGCTGCGCACACCCCGCCTTCTCCTGGCCCGCCTCCTCGGCACACCCGGCCCCTCCCCAGGCAGCGGTTTCTCGGTTTCCTCGCGCGGCTTCGTGAGCACTGCAAAGCCAGTCCAGGCAACGCCAAGCAGCGCCAAGCCATGCAAGCAATGCAAAGCATTGCCTTGCAATGGCTTGCATAGCTTTGCATTGCTTTGCATTGCTTGGGGTTGGCTTTGGAAGAAAGAAAACCCCGACTTGGGGTCGCGCCAGGTTCAATTTCGTAGGGAGGACCGCTGGCCACGGGGGGTCTCTTCACGACGTGGTCTATTTACGCAGCAACCGAGTCACACGTCCTGACTCGATCTCCCGTTTCGCTCTGGCGCTGGGCCACGCTCTCTCCTTCTCGCCCCTCCCTCCGAGCAAAACCACTTCGAGCGCCAGCCAAGTTGGCCAACAACCCGTCCCAGACATCCGACGTCGTGATTTTTGTCAGGGCGTGGCTCCCCGGAGGTCTGGACCATTCCCCGGGACATGTTTTTCATCTGGGGGTGTTTTTTGACAGCCCCTGGCGCTGGTGAGTGCCCCATGAGGCCGAAGATGCAAAGAAAACGTGAGTCACGATTTGCTCAGAACGCGAGGGGGTCTGGGTCCTTGAGCCAAATGTGCGGAGCGCCCCTGAGATAAGACGTCGCAACAATAACGCAAACAACATCGCGAAAAAATACAACTGGAGCCCAAAATTTAATTTTTCTGTTGCATTTTTTCGAGCGGATCGATATGTAAGAACCCCAGGGGCCGAAACCTGGCAAAGACGCTAGGCGTAAAAAATTACAAGGCCCAGATCTCAGGGACCAACAAAGTTGGCAATTGCCTGTCCGCGAAGCCCCGACCGAGGGGCAGCCGTTGCTGGTCTTCGGCTCGTTGCGGCGGCTGGTGGAGCTGCAGCTGGTGCACCCGGAGCTGCTGCGGGCGCTGCGGCGGGCCTTCGGGCGCAGCGAGGCTCGCCACACTGGGCCTGGCCTCGGTCGTGGCTTGACATCACTCGGAAGTGTACATCTCTTCGGCAAGGACCATCGAGGAGCATGAATGTTAACCTTTCGGAAAAATACACGCACGAGACCGAAAAATATACAGGGAACGGACGTCCGAGCGATGGCGAGTTGGAGGGTTCTTCTCTGGGGGGCCCACGAGCCGCAGCACACGGCAAAGTCAGGCTGCATCCCTTGACCCCCTCACGCGATGCGAAAAAGTCAGACGGGAGGCCTTTCGCTATTTTTGGCGCCCGGGCGCCCTTCCCAGGTTTCGGAGCCGTCAAAAAACGACTCGTAATGAAAACTTGGTCTCCGGGAAGGGGTCCAGACTTCTGGGGGCCCACGTTATAAAAAAGTCATTCGAAGGATCGGGTCATGAGAATGAATGGTTTGCCAAGGGTGCCCTTGGCACCAACTTGGGTATCCGAGGGCCTTATATCCTTACCGCGCATCCGTGTGATCCTGTCGCCCTGCATCGCCGCCACACCCCCACCACGAATCGCCCACCCATGGCGTAACGGCCCAAACTCCGCCACGCAGCTTGACCGTCAATCATGGTTATCGGGGCGGCCGCCGCTACGTCCATGATTGGGTGCCCCCCTTCGATCAGACAATAAGAGGCATTATGCTTCGAGCGATTCGCACCAGGGAGCGTCTACTTTGTTGTACGCTGTTACTCGCACAGCTTGCACTAAAATTGTAAGTTTGCGTATGTGTTATTGGCTTGCGGTACTCACGTCTGGTATTGATGCAACTTAAGTTGGAGCAGACTATTTCACGCATGCGAGATGTCAAGGTCTCATGTATGATCGATTATTGCTGTTCTGGATGTGTCGATTCCCTGCGTCTGTTATGTAGGTATGGCATTAGGTATCTGGCTGGCGTGACGTCGTCACGCATGCCATTGACCGTGCAATGCTGATATCACTTGATCTGATCATGTCGTTGTCGAAGCTTGTCTACCATGGCGTATGGTATGCCTGTTAGGCCGTTTCACATCGCTTGGTTTTCTTGGGTCGGCATGGCGTTGTAACGCCCGTCATGTAGAATTAGTTGCGGTATGATCGCTGTGTCTCACCATGCTGTCTGCCAGTGCATGATCTGGTCTGCGCCATGTATGTCTTCTGCTCTTGGCACACACGTTGCTTGCACGTCCAGTGATCATGTCATGCATGCTCCTCGCCTGTGCTCTCCCCTGCCTGCTCTGAGCGCGCGTTGCTCCTGCACCTCGCCTGGGCCTGGTGCTTGGCATCGCTCGGACGTGTGCATCCTTCCTTCGGCGAGGACCATCGAGGAGCATCCTTGATCATTTGGCGAAAAAGCCACGCACGAAACCGAAGAAAAAGCACAGGGAAGGGACGCCCGAGCGATGGCGAGGTTGTCGGAGCCCGTGCGCGCGGCAGGGGCCAGCAGGGCAGGCCGAGGCGCCCCGGGACCACTTGGGCGCGCACGGCAGGGCCGAGCAGAGGGGAGCAGATCGAGCCCTTTGCTCCCGTGCGGAGGCCTTCGCCGACCGCCAGACATCCAAAACGCACTGAAGAAAACAAGACACGCGTTTCAGCAGTGCTCGGCCTCTGGGGGTCTTCGCTGGGCCCCTGGGCCGTCGAGCACCGATGCACGAGGAAGGGGTAGCCCCGGGGAAAGAGGATCGGGACTCCTGGGGATCCCGTGCAGAAGAATCCAGACATCGGCGCGGGCCCCCGCCGATTGGACCAGGACGTTGCTGATATTGGCGGCTACTTCGGTCAAGAGGACAAAGCCATTAGGGCCGCGCGGTCCATGCTGGAGGTGGCGCACACCAGGGCAACGCAGAGCTGTGCACTCCCGAGTCGTGAGAGCAAACTGGAACCCCGAGGCCGTAACAAGTCACGGCCTTCTCTCTCTCCCTCTCTCTCTCTCTCTCTCTCTCTCTCTCTCCCTCTCTCTCTCTCTCTGTCTCTCTCTCTCTCTCTCTATCTCGTTCTCCTATTGTTTGTTCTCTCTCTCTCTCTCTCGCTCTCTTTCTGTGTCTCTGTCCCTCTCTCCCTCTCTCTCTCCCTATCTCTCTCTCTCTCTCTGTCGTTGCGTCTCTCTCTCTCTCTCTGTCTCCTCTCTCTCTCTTTCGCTCTCTCTCCCTCTTTCTCTCTCTCTCTCTCTCTCTCTCTCTTTCTTTCTCTTTCTCTATATTTATCTCTCCTCCCTCGATCTATATTCATACCTAGACGACAACCCTTCTGGTGATAAGGGGGTTGCGGGGGGAGGGGGGGAACCAACATCTGACTCAATCGATCTCACTATCGATCTCATTCAACGGGACACCACGGGACATTTGTCGATCTCACTATCGATCTTATTATCGATCTCATTCAACGGGACACCACGGGACACCACGGGACACCGCGGGACATCTCTCGATCTCACTATCGGTCTCACCATCGATCTCACTATCGATCTCACTCAACGGGACACCACAGGACACCACGGGACACTACGGGACACCCCGGGACACCACATCGATGGGGAGAGAGGGGGGGAACCAACATTTGATTCAATCGATCTCACTATCGATATCACTTTTTGGGACACCACGGGACATCGCGGGGCATTTGTCGATCTCACTATCGATCTCACCATCGGTTTCATTCAACGGGACACCACGAGACACCACGGGACACCTCTCGATCTCACTATCGGTTTCATTATCAATCTCGTTATCGATTTCGCTCAACGGGGCATCATAGGACACCACGGGACACTCGGGACACCACATCGATCACAGTATCGATCCCAGTATCGATCTCATTATCGATTTCACTCAACCGGACACCACGGGACACCTGTCGATCTCACGATGATTTCACTATCGATATCACTTTTGGGGACACCACGGGACACCTCGGGGACCACATCGATCTCAGTATCGATCTCACGATCGATCTCATTCAACGGGACACCACGGGACACCTGTCGACCTCACTATCGATCTCACGCAACGGGACACCTCGGGGCACCACGTCGATCTCACTATCGATACCACGATCGATCTTACTATCGATATCATTATCGATCTTACTATTGATATCACTTTTTAGGACACCACGGGACACCGCGGGACACCGCAAGCCATCGCCGGACGGACGGACGGGCAGGCGGGGGAGAATCATTTGTCTTGACTTCGCCCTAGCAACAGTGGACACCACGGGACACCGCGGGACACCGCTCAAGCCACCGCCGGACGGACGGAGGAGAAACATTTGTCTTGACTTCGCCCTAGCAACACGGCGGACACCACGGGACACCGCGGGACACCGCTCAAGCCGCCGCCAGACAGACGGCGGAGGAGAAACATTTGACCTGATTTCGCCCTAGCAACGGCGGACACCACGGGACACCTCGGGACATCGCTCAAGCCACCGCAGGACGGACGGCGGAGGAGAAACATGTGTTTTAACTTCGCTCTAGCAACGGCGGGATCAGTCCTCTCGCGCGCCCACGCAGCTTCGCCTCGCCCGCACGTACGACACGAACGAAACGAAACGATTTCCTGGTTAGGAGTCTCCGTCCCACTGCGATCTCACCCCCTAACCTCCGATAAACATATATGTATATACAACAGTGCGTTGGCGCTTGGCGCCATGCGCTTTGGTCCTTGAGGTTTGGCATGCAGACAGGAGGGCAATAAGGTAATACGGAACAATTAGTGATAAACCGTTGTTGTTCTTGCTGGTATCGTCGTTGTAATCATGTTGCTTGTTTTCCTGACCTGATGTTTGCTCTTCCTCCCTTCATTATCGCCCTACCCTGCGAAGTCTTCCCCCTCCTCAGCTTTTTTTTTGTGGAGGCTCATCCTAGGAGGGCTTATATATTGTAAGCCTCACGAGTGATTTTTGGGGTTTGTTGGGGCCTTCTGAAAGCCTCCTGGGTCCCGTCTGGGGGCCTCTGGTGGTTTCCCCGGGCCACCCTGCTTCCAACCGCGGTTTCCCTGGACGACCGGGTCACGTTTTGGAATGAATCGGGAGGCGTCTTGGGGCTATGTTGGGCCGTCATGGGGCTCTCTTCGGGCCATCTTGGGGCCCTGTTGGGCCTTCTTGGGGCGTCTTTCGAACTGCTTGGAAGCCCTCTTGGATAAATTTGCGGCGAATATCTGGCCTCCTGGGCGGTCTCGGACGCCCGGAAGACCGAAGAACTGACCATTCACAATATCAGACAAAAACAATTGGAAATCAATGTTTTTTGCGTTTCTGGTGTTTGTTGGTGGTGTTTGCTCGGTCGTCTTAGGGCGTCTGGTGGTTGTTTGGGGCCTTGGTGGGCTCTCGCGGGGCCGCCCTCCTGACCGATTTGGGCCCGCTGCCCAGGCCCAGCAGGGGCTTCAGGACCCTTGGACAGCACAGGGGACCGTCTGTGAGGGCGTCCAGGGTGCCTCTGGGACCAAGGATGTGGAGGGGTCCCGTTTTAGGGGGGGTCGCAGGGTCCCAGATTATACAAATGTAGAAAAAGGAACAGACGTGGATTGGTAGATGACCCTGGTATCGTCCCAGCTTTGGCAGAGCTCGCTCTGGAGGGCCAGCCTTCCGTCAATACCGTTCACTTCGTTTTGATGGGTCACCTGCGAATGCGTTTTTACTTGTTATTTCTGTTCTCCTCAACCGTTTGGGCTAAAGGCTTTGATCGCGCGCCGGGCACGCGGCGGATGGCATCGGATCTGGTGCTGACAGTAGTCCAGGGTGTAGCCCTGGCGACATACTGATGGTTGCTGCGGTGTCCGTCAGCGCCGAGTTGCCCGACCTTTTCGTGCCCACCGATCCCGCCGTGCCCAATCCTGAGGGGGCCATCGCGCCACTTTACCCAGTGTCCGCCAGGGCCCCCCTTGTCCGCCGCGCAAATCGGCAGGGGCGTGCCAGACGAGCGCATGACCAGCAGGCGCGTGGCTCGTTTTCCTCTCGGGCTTCCCGCGCGGAGTCGCGAGCGCGCGCGCGCGCTCGCGCGGGC